CAAATTCTTGAAGGAAATCAGATGCAAATAGATCGGATGCTGACAATGAACCAAATTACAGCAGTTTTAAACTAAATCGGTGCTATTTTGAACAAAAACTTTTGCAACAGTTTCTTTTTATATTTAACAGAAATAAATATATTCGTGTAAAATATATTTCCACCAATAAAAATCAATTTATTGAATATTGAAAACATCTTAAAACAAAAAGATAAAAATATAAAATTCATTCTCTGATCAAAACATTTTTATTTTTATTGCTGCAATTCCAATTAGTTTGACATAATGTACACTTTTAGCATATCTTATTTTAATATTACGTGCACCATGGGCATAAACATAATATTGTATACATATTTGCCATCAGAACAAAATTATATATGTGTGTATTTCTTATTTTAATTATGAGACATTGAATATTTCATCTGTTATAATCATGTTATTAAATCAATTCAGGACCACATACTGAGTGTATTATGCTGTTAAGTATATAAGAAAAGAAACATCATAGTGTTATAAAATAAAGCACAAATTTATTATGTTTTCATATACCTAACCTATATGTAGATAAAAAAAAAGTTGTCTCAAATATTGTCAGCATAGTTATATATATATACAGAGAAATATTAAGATGGAGAATTTGTATTTTGCTTGAATTAAGAGTTATATACTCTCTTATAAATTAATATAAAGTAAAATATATTCGTATGCTTGTATACATGTATACATGTTATAATATGTTAAAGAATAATAAAATTTTAAATTGATTCAATGGAATTTTAAATAAATATTCACAAAACAGAGTTAAAAGAGTTTATTCACTTAATAATTGCTAATTTTAAATTGAATTTTAAGTAGAACTCAGCTATGTAACTATATTATGTTATCCAATATATTACGTATTTTATATTTGCTTGTACATTATTGTGAGCACATATAAGTATTAATAATAATATTTAATTTATATATCAAGTATATAATATGAAATTGCATTTAAATATATATGTAATATATACAAGGGTATTGAAGAATTTCAATTAATTTCTACTTTTGCGGCGATTTTAATTTCTTAAAATATTATATTTTAATTGAAATTATATTTGGTAAATTTGTATACTGTGCGTTTGTGTATGGTTAAGTATTGCATACTACTCGTAAATAATAATAGTACTTGATAGATTAATTTAATTATATTGAAAGCATTATCTTTCATCTTTATATCTGAATCTTAACATAAAATCTCAATTTAATGTTAGGTTATCGAAAATTGAATAATATTTCCACATTCCAGTGTATTTCAAAATTATAATACAAATTTATTAAACAGAATAAGGACAAAAACCAAATAAAAATGGCACATTAAATGTGAACCGAATTTATGAAATAGGGAATTGCTAGAACGAAGAGCATATACGCAAGGAATTATTTTAAATAAATGTTTAATAGTGGCAGTTATATGAAAAATTTCATTAAAATTAGTTTTTCAATATACGTTTTTTTCGTTACTTCATTTGGGATTTCGGGAAACCACTTAATTTTTTTAAGTTAAGCTTTAGATTCATAAGCCAATGATTTCTTGTATATTAAATATTTTAGGTCATTGTTAATTAATATATTGCCATTTTATATTAAATATTAATTTTTATAGTGACTTGACCAGGGTTCGTACCTGAAACCATTCGGTTAAAGGACGGGTTTCATAACCACTGCCCCATTAGTCAGACATTACTTTAAAAAATAGTAATTCGAAGGTATTATCCTGTTTAACAAACTGTTTTAATTGAAACTTTTAAAATATGAAAAATTTGAATAAAATTTTTATATTTTCAAGAAAACTGATTTTATATTTTTATTTAATCAAGCTTGAAACTCTATAATATTCGTGATTTGCCTTAATTCCATAAAAGGAGAATGTCAACACAAGCGATTTTGTGAATTTATTAATTTATTTTTAAATAAAATTTATATTACCATAAAGGATTAAAACTTAGATATCAAAAGATGCAATTATGAAAATTATTGTAATGCCAAAAAGTATGCAATCTACTAAATTATTCTCTTTAATTAATAAATTATATAAACTTCCACTATTAAACATGTATGGTAATTATTTGTATACAAACAATTATATTTCATGCAAAACACAAATTTACAATAAAATCCTTGTCATCATATTAATAAATTTTGCTTCATAGTTACATACTTATAAAATTTTCAAATTGCATTCCAAAAACCCATTACTCATTTGTATTAACTATATAAAATATTATTTATAATAAATAAATTTATTGTTTAAATTATAATATTTTTAAAATTTAAAAAAATAAACCATAGACAAAATAATCAAAGCAAAAATATCATTTTTATTTAAAAATGAAAGGAAAAAAATATTTATTGAGCGCAATTCTATTTTATCTACAGATACAATAATAAAGTTGTTTTAAAATTTTTTATATATATACAAATAATGTACATACATAAATACTGTACATATTTATTATTGCAATTTCGGTTTTTCTACATGACATATTTTATCAAATTTATAATTCACATAAATTATATGAGTATAACTATATTAAAATGTATATAATTGCTACTATATGGTACATATATGTGTATAATAGTTTTAAATTACAAACTCAATATCAATTTAAATGTTCAGATTATTGTGTAAATAATTGCATGTAAAATTTGCAATTCAATTTTTATATTTTGATGTCAAATACGATGATTTTTAATTTCAATAAAATTCTATTTTACAAAAATATACAATCATTATACATATACATAAATCAATTTCTTTGAATACTTTGTATAATAATGTATGGCTGTTTAATGTGTATATATGTGGATATATTATGTGTGTGTCTCAGTTTGCAGTGGTTATTTTACAGTAAAAAATGTAGTTTTTCTTTTTGAAATTATTGATTGGTTCTTAAATCATAACCGCACAATCCTGTGACGAATTTTACTTATATTAAAAGATTTATTACATACATATAATAAAATTAATTCTCATTTCTTAACATTTTTATTTAACAATAGCAATTTTATTTAACAGTATATAACATGGTCAAATAATACTAGTATTTGAGATATGAGCGGGCGCGTTTCAATGTTATAGCGCTTTTAATAAAAAAAACAATAAGTTTTAATTTAGAATTTAAAAAAGAAAAAATTTACATCTGAGTAAAAGTAATTTTGTGTAAAAGTTTGTACTTGCAAAATTTATGCTATATTAGTGCTAACGTTCACATGCCACTTAAATTTCAAATACATATGTACATAAATCATAAAATTACTAGTAATCTATATAGCAAAAATACATTACCCGAGTTTCGAACCAAAAATTTCAAACCAATGCATAAGTATAATGTAAAATTCAACTTGTACAACCGTAAAATTTTTAAACAGAAGCTTGATTTACATTTTGATTTTTATAAGCAGCTTATAAACACTTTAAAAATTAACTAGCTCTTTAAAAATTAATTCGCACCTTAACAAGTTGTGAACACTTTAAAAACACATAAAATATTTGATTTCATAGTTCAGATTTAAAGCTAGAAATTACTCTCTCGAAAAAACCCACAACTATACTTTTCTAAATAAAATTTTGAAGCCATCTACCGGTATAAACAAACTCTTCTTAACTATACTCTTCTGAAACACGTCTTTGTATAGGTTATAGTTGGAAGTTTTATGTACCTGAATGTTGAACACCCTCAAATGGAACATTCTAATTAGTATGAGATATATTACTTTTATATACAACTTTTCAAAAGAAAATAGTTAATAATTCAACCTGCTTTTTATGTAAAAGAATTCAATTACATTATAATGTTATGAAAACGATGATATTTAACATTTTTTACCATTTGTTTAGCAGGTTTCAACATTCAACACCGAAAATTATTATTGTACTCGTATTTATAATGTAAACAATAAACAGTCAGTCATTTTATCCTTACCTTCCCATATTCAATATTAAAATATACTATTATTTTTGATTGTATAATATGTATTATAATTCCTCGTATAATATAAATTATTCATACATAATTTAATATGTGAATGTGTACAAAATAATATTATCATTATCCATTTATATATTTTTACAAATTAATGTTAAATATAACGTTGACATTTATATAAGTTTATGTCATTATGTTTTATTTACGTCATTCAAATATTTTACAAATTTATTTATTCATTTTGTATACCTATACTTACATATATACATGTAGAAATGAAAAAATAATTGAATAAATTAAATTAAATATACTTTTGGTCTGATTACATTTTATTTTATACAAAATAATTTATCATGTGGCTTGAGGTATTTTAAAATGGAAGTGATTTTAAAAATTTTTTTATTAAAATATCAACTTAATTTTTTTGTTTTTTTGCTCTGTTGATATTATTAGATTTAAAATATTGTATATAATTAAATAAATCTTAGTCTTTCCAGTTCATATATGGCAATTTTTTGGCCAAATGCAAAAATTCAATGATTGTTATTTATACAAATTTGTTATTATCTGTACGTGTGTCTAAAGGAATTTTTTATGCTAATATCAAAATTTAAAAGTAATAGATATTTATATAACTCTATTTCCATTTAGAGAGCAGGGGCCTTGCTATATGTAATTCGATTCTCGCGTTCGGAGAAATGGTAAAGTAACAACAATGAATTTTCCATTTCTGCACTTACTAAAAGCGAACTACATAATAAGGCCCCAGTTTCTTATAGTAAAGAATTTAACGTTGAAGAACAAAAATACTCTTTTGAAACCTGATTGAAAATTTGTATTTTAATTTATATTGAATTAACATCTATAAAATTTAAGCAAATAATGTAGAAACTATAAATTTTAATTATCTAATTAAATTTTTTATTTAATTTTAATTAACGTTTTCGTTTTTCTTTTTCTTTACAGGTAATATTCAAATCAGGATATTATAATTTCATATTGTGAATTAAAATTCAAAAGAATATGGTATAGACTTTGACAAATTAACATTAAAATGAATTCTAAAAGTTTCAATTATAATTTTTAATTGAAAAGTGATTTGTGATCGAACACGCTGATACTAATCTAAGGTGATTAAGGTATAATTATTAAGTATGAAAAAAAAATTTTTTTTTTAATTATTTTTTATTGCACATTTTTTGCTGAAACGAAAATTTGAAAACACATACACAACAATAGTGACGAGGCAAATTATTTTTATAAGATATATTTATGACTGAAACGAATATTTTTTACATGAAGAAAATAAATTGACAAATATTGGAAGAAGTGGGCCGCAAACGCAATTCTACCGAATAATTAAAAAAAGTGAACAACAATAAAATTTATTAGTATTAAAAGAACCGATTAATCTTTTGTAAAAGTTTAATAATACAATAAGGTAGTGCCGTGAATGCTGTAAAGCCAGACTAATTTTTTTATGTTAGAGAATTATTAGATTTCAATTGATTTTTGGTCAAATATCGAAGGCAACAATGTATGAAGCTATTACGTTTTAAATACATACATTACGTCTCAAATACATACTGATAACTCATAAATATAAAATTAAGGATATATAAAGTTAAACTCGTTGCTTATACTCGTAGCTATTTTAATAAATTGTGTGGGGTTTAAAGTTGAAGTTTTTAAAAAGATTCGTACAAACTTTCTTTTAGGCGTCGTTTACAAATATTTGCATGTTAATTTCTACTAGTTTTTTACAAGAAATAAAAGCAATAATACACAACATGTCTATATAGCAAAAATTGGTAATTATTGGCCATGCATATGTGCATGGAATATATAAGCGATGTATAAAGTTTTGCATATATAACAATTGTTACCCTATTAACACACTACAAATTCTGAAAAAAATTAATATATAATTAATGAATATGTAATTATTTCATATATAACAATTGAAAAAGTTTAATTTTTGTATCACTAAATTATTTTTGTAAATTATGTTTATTGTATTTTTCAAAGTTAAGAGACAAGATTCAAATAAATTTTGATCCATTTTGAAAATTTCCTTCTCATGATCTTATTCATTAAAAATTTAAGTATCGAAATAGAAAATATAAATGAGAAAAGTGCAAAATTTTTAATAAACTTTTTGTTGCAACACAAATTATCAATGAAATAAAAAAGCTAGAACAAAAGTCTCTCTATGTGTCTCTCTATTTTGGATTCAATTATTAAAATTTTTTTGTAATTTTAATTGAACCTTAACAAACGATAAATGGAAAAAAGGATAATTACTAAAAAGAAAATTAAGTAGAAAATTAAAACAACTTGAAAATTAACTTATTGTTATTTTAAATGCAAAACTAAAAAAAAATTTACAAGTACTCGTATTCTATGCCAATATTAATAATAAGTGAATGAAAATATTTTAAGATCTAAGTATAAAATAATTTAAAAGTTTATCATTCCCACTGTTTAAAAGAGAGAGAGAAGAAAAAAAAATGATCACCCTTAATTTACAGAAAACTTTTACAGAACATCAAAGATAATAAAATTCCATATATTAAAAAAAAAAAAAAAAAACAAAAGGAATGCTAAAAATAATTTTTTATCACCGCGTACATTAAAAATTCTTTTAACCAGATTGTTATTTAATAGGTTCAATGTGTACTTACCTACCTACCAAACCTACTACTACCATATATGTACGTAAACGAGTAAGTGGTTGCACTATTCAAGAATCGCACCAGCAATTATGCATTTTCATTTCTTTTTTTTTTCTTTCTTATTTTATAAAAAATATACGAATGTTGTGTGCATTGGTATGTCTTCAATTTTAACGATTTCACTTGCTTCTTTTTTCAGTTCTTTTACAAAAAAAAAAAAAAAATTCTTTTTATACTATTAAATTACTCTTTTTTTTCTGTTTCTTGTTTTTCAATTTCTCGCTTGAATTTTTTTCTTTTTTTTTTTTTATTAGTTAAACGCGACCCATATTAGTCTTCTTAAATGCATGTTGAATATAGCAAGGAAGGTATACAAAGAGTTGAAAAAATAAAACATTAAAGAAAATAAATTAAGAAACAAACAGCAAACATAAAATCACTCTTCAACTTTGGAAAAAAATATAAAAAAGAAAAAATTATAAATTCAAAAATTATCTTTGAAAAAATTTTCTGTATAGCCTTTTTTTCCCTTCTTAACATTTTTCCAACATAAGTGAAGAAAGAAATGTGCTTATTAGTTTCATTCACCCTTTCCGTCAGTATTTCTGTTGGTTTACCTTCAGTTTAAATACTTCTACACTCTTAAAGATAAAAAGCTTAAATTGTGTGCACAAGTACACATTGCTAAGAAACTTATTTTTGTGGAAGAAAATTTTTTCTATTATCCTCACTCTAAAAGTTATTCCACCTAAAAACTCTAAAAATACAAATTTTTTGAAACCACAACCATTTTTTTAAAATTTACCTATAATAAACCGTTGAATTCGACCATTATGTTGACGCTTCCTTTAATATTTGTTTTTTTTTCTCCTATAAATATGCAATATTGTTTTTTATATAGTATACAGTCAAACACGCTTAATATCAACCCTGTGTAATATCACAACTTGTTTAAATTCACAAAATTTTTTGACAAAAAAAATTGCTATATATTTTGACATATATTTGAACTCGCTTAATAGAAAACTCTTGTAAAAGAAACTCTCTTAAAATCACGTAATTCTCAACAACAAAATGTCTAATTTCATTCAATTTTGCTCGCTTGAAATCACATTACGAGTATCATAAATCACAAAATATAAATTTGGTAAGAAAATATTACAAAAAAAAATCCAGAGAAACTTTCTTGTTTTTTTTAAACAAAAAATGTAAATCTTTTTGTTTACGACATCTGTTGGCAAATGTTTTTTACAAAACTATTGAATGTAAACACATGCACCCGTTGAAATGGTTGTTAATGAAACTCGGTGAAATGGCAAGTTGGGAAATTTTATAATATTTGTATAAAATTTTTGTTATTTAAAAACATTTTCAGCTTTTTTAAGGAAGTACATAAAAATCTCGCTTAATTTCAAAACTCGTTTATAATCACAAAATCTTGGACATTTTTCCATGTTATATTAGGCGTGTTCGACTGTAATATAATTTTGGTAGCTATTTTCTTTCGTTCAAAAGGAATAGTGCTACTTTACAAACTATTTGTTTGATCCAAATTTATTTTATCTCTTTTTTTTTTTTGATTTTTTTATGTAATTTCAAAACTCATTTAAGATTATTATAGTCATTCTTTATTATGTTTATTTTTATACTTCTGCAGTAGATTCTTCTATATTCCTTTGCCATGTATGTAGTCTTTTTTTTATATTTATAGAAAACATAAGTTCTTGTTCTCTCTTTCAACTTATACTCAATTCATTTTCTTTTCTTGTCGATACCAAATTTCATTTAAATTGCATACTTAATGGTACATACATACATGTCTTTTTTTCGTATTTCTTTTGAAATGAAAATTCTCCTTTCATGTATTCACTCGTCGTTGTATTCATTCTGATTTCTGATTGTCATTTAAGATTATTTTTTGCTTTACTGAACGCAATTTATTGCATAAAGGTGCGTATATACATACATATAACATGTAGATGCATTTGTATATTTGTTTATTTGTATCATACATATATTTTAAGTATAATGATAAGTATAATTAGATAGAATTGTGTTCGCTTTACCATTTAAATTAATATGATGTTTGTGATATTTTATATTGTGTGTCTTTGATCAGAACTATTTCAAGTCCCAATTAGAATATTTTACGGGCGAGGGATTTAAATGATTGTTATTTGATTATTTTTTTATTTAAGGTTTTGGGGTGCAAATTTGTAGAATTTTGTTTCGTATTGGAACCCTTTTAGCTATTTCAAATAAATTATAACATGCAAAACCGATAAAGATTTTTGCTCAAAAATGATTTAAAATTATTTTTTCCAAATTATAGCAAATATATTTAAAATAACCGGTCAGGCTTCTATCTCGAAGTAATGCCAAAGAATGAACCTTAGTTTCTTTTCTTTTATTCGTCTCATCAAAATGTTTTCTGCTCTCATAAAAATAGCTTAGATTTCAGGGGAATAGTTATTATTTAATCTACTTGCCAAAACGTAACCAGTTCTTATAAAATCCTGAATTAATTTATGCTCATCGTTTTCAAAATCAATAAATAATAGAAATCTAGCAATAAAGACCAATTGTTTTTTTAAAATTAGACTTAGGTTTGTCCCTATACAAGAAACTGCTATTATACACTTAGATATATATAAATACATATATATGTATGTATATATAAAAATATCGTAATTACCTTTGCGTTAAAATGTAAACGTCGGCACAAAAAAATTCTGATGCGTGATATTTTTAGTGAAAATGAAATAAAAGGAAAAAGGTCCAAACCATTCACTTCTCTTTTCTTTATTTTTTTTTGCCTTTATTCATTTATCTATATAATATCCCATTCAACAGAATCTGTACAGTGGATTTACGTAGATTTTTATAAACATGAGGCTTAAATTTCAATTCAGGATGCCTTGCATTTATTATATTAATGCGTGTGTATGTGCATGTACTTTTTACACTCTTATATAGAAACAATGAAGACACTTTATTTTTTTTCTCTCTATTTTATGAGATTAATGTTTTTTTAGACAAAGATTAATTTTCTATAAAGATAAAGAAAAATTTTAACAAAAAAAAAATATATGTAGAGTTGAATTTATTGAAAGTGCACTCAGATTTCAAAATACAGCTTAGCCTTAAAAATTATAAAAAAAAACTCACAAACAATATAAAGAACACAAAAAAGATTGTGGTGTTGAAAATTTCATATAATTATAATTTGTTAAATTTAAAGAAATTATCAAATAATCGTAAATATTACACACACACTTAATATTTTTTTCCTCTAAAAATTTTATTTATGCGGAAATTAAATTCTTATTATCGCTTATAAATTTCACTATCGTAAGTGGTCGTAATACTTTACAAATTTTTGTTTACATTCAATTTGAGATACCAAAAGCATCTTGAACTTCTATGCACATAGTTCCATTAATATTTTTTTTAAT